TAGTTGGATAAATATTTCAATCCCTCAAATGGTTATCTTAGCGAAGATAATTAAATCATTGAATTGTTGTTGTAGAAAATGAGAATGGCATTTTTTGGGATATGTGCAATTTTTATACATCTAGATTCAAAGCCACTTTTAGGGTAAAGATAAAGTTCCTTTAAGCCATACAAGAAATCCTAGTCCCTATCACAAAGTTCTATAAAAAATAATGGTCAAAGGACTTAAAGATACCTATACCTAATGAAAGAACCTAATTTTTACCTAAATGGAGATGGAAATGGGTATTACATAGTGGGTATAGGAATAGAATGGGTATGATTTTTAAATTTTTATTAGGTATAAGAATGGGGATAGGTAATATAACACCCGCCCCATATTCACACTATACATATATATTTATATATACTTAGTAGATAGATTTTTTGTTAAATGATATAAATTATTATTTTAGATTAATTAGAATTAATATATTTTATTGAAAATATATATTAATATATATTTATGAAAAAATTACCTAAATATATAATATAAAAATAAAAAAATAAAAAATAAAATTATAGTTTTTATTTTTTAAAAAGCTATGGATATAAGGATTACCTATACATTAAATACTTATGAGGATGGAAATGAAGATAAATTTGAAATACTTATTGTATATGGATACTAGATAGGTATAATAATAAAAATTCGAGAATGGGATGGGGAATTCTCTATCCGCCTTTTACCCTAAATATTGACATCCCTAAAAGGACCTACTAAATAGCAATGGTTGCATTCTTTCAAAATCTTGATATGGAAGATTTGATGGTGGAGAGCATTTTGGATGCTTCGTCCATCCATACTATATGGTTGTAGTGATAAACCATGGGTCTACTTTTTAGAATTTAGGGGAGTTATGAGTTATGCACCCTTATGGTCAGGAGATAGTATAGGTTTAAATAGTTTGTTCAGATGACTCATGGGTTGAACTAGTTAAAGTTCGATTATGGAAAAGCTAACTATGTGGTTAGACTACACAATATCACTAAAGCATCAAAACAAACCTACCGATCACAGCTAAAAAGATGTAGTCATGATGTCACCCTAGGATACTTGGTAGAGAGAGCAAAATGGGTTAATAATATGGTACCCTCCAGATGATGGTTTCCTCAATTGGTTGATCCATGGGCAAAGACACTGATGTTGGAAATCGAAATTGCGAGGTTGGAATTCAAGGTAGAAAAAGAAAAGATATAAAAAGAGAATCTAAGACTTCAAAAAGAATTGAGACAATTGAATTATTAAGACATTGTATAGGAAAGTCAATTAGAGAAAGTTACAAAGGATAAAGATGTAAATCGTAGTTACGTTAAAGCTTGCATGAGGAAAATAGGGGGTTAAAAGCTCAATTAAAAGATGAAAAGATCAGACCTAATGGGAGACAAAAAAGATTTGTTTTGTTTAGTAATGGCATAACAATAAATAAGCCATCTAACTATATTTAATCAAATTTTCACTTAAGCCCTTATTTTGTTATCATGTGATTAAGCCAAACTATTTGAGTTTAATGAAACCTAATTTGGATCGGAAATGCTAGTGATGATCTTATTAACTCAAATTGGTGACTTATATATATAGGCAAACTTCGATGACATTGTACTATGTGGAAAAATTAATTGACATTCGAAAACTAATTAAATGTATATTTAAAGTTATACATTCTTTAACCTTTGTAATTTATTCAATTTTTAATGAAATTATGATATTTTTATATTTATATGAACTATAGCTTTCTGAGTTAGGACATAACAATGTGTGTAACACAATTAATTAGGAAAGGATACTTCAAATAAGCTAGATATTTTCTCTCAAGAATAAAGGTTATAAATCTAAAGTGTATACATTAGTTATAAGGTCCCTTCAATTGTAAGCCTTCAATGTCTTATAAAGTTAAATGTGTCAAATTGTAATAGGTTGAAATCTATCTTCTCTTCTATGCTGGCTAGAAATTTGCCACACATGAACTATTTGGATACAGAGTGTTGAGAAGAGTTAGAAGAAATCATTGAAATAGACCAAACTTCAATAGCATCATTATTATAAGGTCATCTTCAACTTATATCCTTTCCTTGTCTTAAGCGTATATGGATTTATGGGTGAACAATTTGAAAGCTTGTTTACAAGTATTGTTGCCTATTCTCTTTCAAAACTAAAAAATATCAAAATTCATTAGGCTTTCAAATCAAAGGAAGTTTTTAGGTATCAAAGTGAATTAAACTTGAAGATGATGGAAAGGGAATAGTATTCCTTGAATTAAAAAGATTAGGATTTTTAGAGCTTCTAAGCCTACATACCTTCACGCAAAAGGGTTATCATTTTGGATTCTCTTTTTTGTGTTATTTTGGAGTAAAAAGATGCCCCAATTTGAGTACAAGTTTCAACAAGGACTCAAAACACATTTCCATCCCATAACAATGGTACCTAACCAACTTTTTCTTTGCTTATGCTTAATTTCTTATTCTTGATGGTTTTAATTATCAAAATGAAGTGTTCTTGTTCTTGATGAAAATAAAAGCCATATCTATTGTTTTGTTCTTAATGGAATACTTGAATATATATACACATGAAATGTTTGGTCCATCACCTAATTACATGGAATCAATTAATTAACTAATATACCTTTTTTTTAATTGAAGCTATCAAAAATTAAATCTGATTTTTACGTCCAAAGGTTATTTGGTCATTTTTTTCATTAGATACTACCAACAAATAACCAAGGGCATTTTAGACTTTTGGACTGACCTTACATGTCTGATCAAACTTAATGTCACAGTACCACGTTAGCTTAACTTCGATCCATCACCTAATTACATGGAATCAATTAATTAACTAATATACTTTTTTTTTAACTGAAGCTATCAAAAATTAAATATGATTTTTTACATCCAAAGTTATTTTGGTCATCTTTTTTCATTAAAGACTACCATAAATAGCCAGGGGCATTTTAGACTTTTAGACCAACCTTACATGTCTAATCAACTTAATGTCACAGTACCACGTCAGCTCAACCACCTTACCCATCTGTCCAGTGAGCTTCCTTCAATGCTAACTTGTCGTCCTCTTACTGGATAGTCAATGTCCAAGTTAACTTGATACTTTAGGTCATTTTTAACCATATAACTGACCTTGGTTACCTAAAACCCTTTACCTTCCAACTATAATTGGAGTCATACAAGTACATCTAGACATGATACGGTCCTTTTATCTTCTCTATTTCTTCTTCCTATTTTGCTCTCTTGCTAATCTTTGACTTGAGCATCGAAGCATAAATTTTGGGGAAACACCTAGCATTTAATTTTTAACTGCTTTCTTTATTTCCTTTGTTGGTTTTAAGGTCTTACCTTTCCAACTTAGCTAGACACAAGTATTTGATGCGCCAAGTAGGGAAATTTCTTTCTTTGGCTGAGGCCTAAAACACCATGCTACCAAGAAAGAAAGTTTGTCGAGAAAGTACAACCAACTGCCATAACTAGAACTGAAGCCCAAGCCAGCCAACCCACAAATCGACCTTCACTAGCAAATCCTATAATGGATTGTTTATTACGAATGGAATGGCACTTACCAACTTAGTTAATATCGATGGCATTTTTTTTAATTGATAAATCAGTCAATAATGCTATTTATAGACAGAAATTTTGGCTTTTTCCAACAAAAATTTTCATCAGTAAAAACCATTTTTCTGGTAATGATGCTCTATATTTGAATCCTCAATATTTGACCCAATTCTCAGAAAATTTTTTTTATACGATCACAGCTTGGAGATAAGAGGAAGGGAATGCATATGGTTTGAGATTCCAACCCTAAATTTACTGAGATGGTTACCTATTATCGAGTGACTACATGGGACTAAGTGAAGCTTTGAATCCTACTCCTAGATTTTTTCAGTAAAGTTAAAATAACTTATTGTAGCATTTCTATCACGTACAATTGAAGATACCCTAAAGTTCAACTTCATAAAAAATCCAAATCTGTATCCTTAACCTTAATTACTAGTTGAGAGAATTCAATCCAACAATTAATGAAAACAAAAGAACATTTTTCTTTTTTTTATTACACTGAAGTTTGAAAACACTGAAGTTCGAACTCAAAATCTTCAATTTAAAAGCAATTTCAGTACTATTGAAATAATATTTTTCTTTGGCAATCTAATTAACATATTAATTATCAAGTCAACACATGAAGACTATGTTAATCCTTGATTTCTCATAAAATCACTCCTTATTTTTTATTTTTGTTAGAAAAAATCACTTTTTATTAGTACCATGTATACATATAATAGTAATAAGGAAAATTTTATAATAAATTTTTTAATATTTTCACCATTCTTAAGATATATTTAAAACTTAACTTACACTCCCTCAATCCCAAATTGTTTGGGTGTTATTAACTTTCATGGAGTTTAAAAAAAAAAAAACTTTGATTTTATGTATTTAATATTAATTTTAAATTTTTTATAAAATTAAATTTTCATGATTTTTAATGTTAAAATGTAAAAAAAATTATGTATAAAAAATAATTTCAAAATATAAAAAAGTAAGAGTTTTTGATATAAAAAATATATAATTTTAAGATATAAAAAATATGAACAAAGAAATTAAGATGGAAGAAATAAAAGTTTATCATAATAAATTATGAGATGGCGGTCTTAAAAGTTTTAAATTTCTAAATCCAAATAAAACCCAAACGAAGCCTAAACATTAGATTTCTGAACCAAAACGAAGCCTAAATCTAGATTTTTGAACCCAAACAAAGCCCAAAGTCTCACTTTTTGAAACGGCGCCGTAACGACTTTTCTTTCCTTTCGCAGTTAAAAGGAAGAAAAGAATTCTCACTTGTATCTATCAATAAAGCCATGCCTCGTAAGAGAGCTCAAATGAGCTTGCCGTGGCGGATACAACAGCCCCGCAAAACCCGCATCTTCACTGTTTCTCTCTCATTTTCTCTCAAACCAAACAAAAAAAATAAAAGCGAAATCTCTCTTAAAAACCCTCTTTTTTTAATTATACTCTATTCAACGACTCTCAATTTTGTCTGCAGCAATCAGGTCAAACTTCTTTCTCTTCGATATTGCTTTCCTTCACGTCTCATTCATATACTGCTTATACACTGAAATCTGGTAAATTACGTTATCATTTATTGATTTTCATTTGATTTTTTGCATTTAAAATTATTGATTTTTTATTTTTTGCTTCTGATTTTGAAAAAAGAGTAGGGATTGAATATCGTTGATGTTGGGCGCTTTAAGGAGAAAAGTTGCGAGCGGAGACTCATCATCTTTGGTTAGAGCTTTTAGTGTTTAAATTGTACTGTATTTAGCTAAAGCATAGGATTTTATTAATTTTTTTCATTATTTTTGTGATTTTTTAGGTATTAGGGAAGTCATTGCTGGCGATTCGACGGGGTGTTTCAGCATCTAGAGTTTCTTCTAATGCTGGAAAAGAGGTAAATAATTCAGTTGAAAATGAATTAGATTTGGTAATCATGAGCTTAGTTCAGTTTCTTTGAATATCAATGGATCTTGATGCTATTAAATCTATAACTGATGTCGAAGATGTTGATTTATTTAGGCCTTGCCATAGTAAAATATTGATATAAAGTAAAAGAAGTGCAATATCATATGGTAAAATATTCTCTTTTTTTTTTTTTCAAAAATAATTCAAACTTAATTCCTTTGATTTGAAGTTAAGAACTGTTAAAGTGCACGTGACCTGCATGTGCGGTTAATTTGTTGCAAATTCGTATAATCATTCATACCTCTAGTATAATTTCCATAATTGTTTCTGCATTTTCATTTTTTTCAGTCTGACCCCAAAATTGCAATTCGGAAAATTTGTTTCCTATATTAAAATACTGTTCCAACAAAAAGTGCTAGAAAAAAAATTGTTGTTGTTGGTTTATGCATATTTGAGAGTCGTGTTGTCACACAAGTACACAATTCTCACTCCCTAAAACTAAAAAAAAAAATTAAAAAAAAATTCTTTAAATAAAACATTAATGTTTAATTTTACACTCGATTTATAATTATTTGTAACATGAAAATTTAACTAATAAACAAGGTCTATCATATTCTTTCTGGTGAAAAAAAAATTCAACTTATTATTTGTGATCAACAATAATTTTTGAAAGAAAAAGATGGAAAAATGCTGAAGTAATGTATTTTAAAGTTTTCAATCGATACCAACGTGACAAGTAAACACTTTTAGAAAAGGCTAGCTAGTTCACTTGATAACTTTGTAGTTTCCATTAAAGTTTGTTAAAGTAAAAGGTCTGGTAATGAATTAAGATGCTTTTCAAGGACCTTCTTTCATTGTTTTTCATTTTTTAATTGTTCGACGGGTTAATTCTCATCGGCCAACGTTTCATACTTCTTCCATCACCATCGTATTTATTATATACACATAACTCATTATCTCCATTATATATAAAATGTTTTTAACATAAATGAAACAAATTATAAGTACATAATATAATTTGAGGGGATTCAATTGAAGTATACATGTCTATTGGCTGAGCTAATTAACTAAACAAGTCCTCTTATTGGCTGATACTTTTCGCCGTAGTTTCAATTGAATTGGGAGATTTGAAGCAGAGTTTTTAAATTTTGTGGTCGGTTGAAGATTTCCTATGCATTTACATCCTAGTGATATCCATCCCTCTTGCCATTGCACTTTATTTAGTGGTTAAATAATTTAGTAAAAGAAAAAAATGTTTGGGCCCTTCTCTTGCTGTCTTTCACAAGGGTTTGAATGAGAAAATTGGTAATAATAATAGTAGGAAAATTAATAGGTTTTTAATGTTATTTACTCTGATGTTGATTTCAATTTTCAAAATTAATTTATTTATATTTTTCACGAACTTTTGAGATTATATTTTGAAAAATTATTTGATAAATTAATAATAAAATTTTTTAATCTTACAAGTGAAATTAAAATGATAATATATATCTTATTTTTTTAAAATTAATTTTTTAAATATATAAAAGATGTGTTATCATTTTAATTGCGTTTATAAAATTAAAAATTTTCGTTAATATATTAATAAAATTTTTTATAATTTTTTATACAACTCTTTGAACAAATTTTTTTATTTTTTAATTAATGAAACAACCATCCATAAATGTTAAATTATGAAATTTGACTCTTTATTTTAATTAAAATAAGTAAGTGAGAAAATTATTGCTGAAAAATAATTTAAAAAAAAAGTAAAGGGACCAAAAATTCAAAGGTGAATGTCATATCTCATAACAGAAGCTGTGAAGAACAAGCTGGCAATCGTGATAACGATCAGATTTCCTCGAAAGAAAGATAACAAAGAAAAAAAAAATTAAAGGTGTGAACTTAAATGTATTTCACCCAAGACAAGGAAATGATGTTACTTTGGACCCTTGTCAAGTTCTCTTCTACTAAAGGTTTGAATAATAATAATAATAATAATAATAAAATAAAAAAAAAAAAAAAAAGACTCTAAAGAAATTAAAGAAGTCTTTAATGCAACTTTCTTAAGTAGTTTCAATTAGTTACAAAGATTTCAAGTAAAACTTTTCTACATTTGTGGATTGTTGATTTTTTTTTTTTTCATTAGAAGAAAAGTTGACTTGTATTTCATCAGTTTTCTTTAAACACGAAAGAAAATTGAAATTAACAGAAATTTATCACTTACATTAATAGAATATTTTTAAAATATTTTTATTTTATTATTTTATTTAAAAATCAATAAATTAAAATACAATGACAATAATTTAATATTAAATCGTAATATAATGACAAATTAAAGAAGTTACGCCTCCCAATAAAAGGAAAAGATGTTTAGGCCCTTTACAAATTGTCTTCTGCTAAGGATTAGAATAAGAAAAATAGTAATTATAATAATAATAATAATAATAAAAGACTCCAAAAGAAATTAAAGAAGTCTTGATGAAACTTCCTCTGTAGTTTCAATTGGTCACAGAAGTCTTTGATGGTTCAATTTTTTTTATTCAATTGAAGTAAAGTTGTTGGATCCTGGAACTTCATATTTCCTTGTTATATTTATCTTTTTCTTCTGTGTTGCTGCCTTACCTGACTCTTACAACTTTCTCCTCAAACAGTTTCCATTGAAGCAATCAAGCATCGTCTTCTATCATTATCTCCACATCTTCCAGCTAGCTAAACTACCACATCCGTTGTTTGATTTCTGCCTTATTGCTCTTCTTTTTATAACTCAACAAAAAAATTTTGGTGCTCTTTTTAATTTCCTTGATTTTCTACTTTACTTTTATAACTAAAGCTTTTCTTTTTTATTTTTTATTTTTTTGATTTCTAATTTTCTATTCTTTTAACAGGGAAAAAGAAAAAAATGGTCTTGATTTTCCTTTACAGATCCATACAGCTTTTGAAGATCCATCTCAAGTAAGAGGTATGTTCAATAAACCATTTATATATAAATTTTTTTCTCCATAATTTTTGCTATGCTCAACTTCATTTTTCGTTTGCTTCGATTAGTCTTCGATTTTTCACTCTTACTTGTTTACGAATTTACTTAAATAAATAATAATAATAATAAAATATTTATTTTAAAAATTTAAAATAATTGGTATCTCTTAAAATAGCTAAAATGTGTTATTAAATAAAAAGTATGATTCGATATAAATTAATAAAATATTAACATAAAAATAATTCAAGGAAAATATAAAAGAATTGATATTTTAAAATGAAAGAATCAAAAAATATTGATGTAAAGATGTGAGATCTAGAAATAATAAAATTTGTTAGAAATATTGTAACATTTTAAAAAATAAGTTATGAAAATTTTAAAAGTAATAAAACGTAAGAATAAGGCTTTGCTCGATACAGAAGATGAAGAGGGATAAGGATAAAACTTTTTAATCTAATAGTTAAACTACAAAATAAAAAAGTGGTTATAAATTTTAATTATTAGATTAATAAGTTTTTTATTCTGATCTTTTCCATCTTTAATTTTAACCAAGCAAAGTTTAAGTGTTGGAAGATATTATTTTATATAAATAACTACATTAATAATGTAAAATTTAAATTAATTATTTTTCTAATTAATAGATATATAACATCAATGGCTAAATAAATACTTTCAAAGCTAAAAAGATAACATTAAAAGTTAACATTTTAAAATATATTTTAAAAATTATTAACGTAAATAATTGAGAAGAATAATAAAATTCATATAAATTTGTTTAAAATAAGTTATAGGTGATGTAATATCTTAAGATAGAATTATAAAAATTTTAAATATTATGAAAGGTAAGAATACACGTAAAGAGATATTTTTTAACATAAATGATTGAGTTGTTACATAAAATTTAAATTAATTATTATTCATGTAAATATTTTTAGGCCAATGACTAAAAAAATACTTAAAGTAAAAAAAGACAGTGTTAAAAAATTAATTTTTGAAAAAAAAATATTAAAAAATTATTAATGTAAACATGTGTGAGAAATTATAAAATTAGTTATAATTTGTTGTAAAATGGGGTTTAAAAGTGTTATAACATGAAAAGACAAAATTATAAAAATTTTAACATAAATAATTTAGAAAAGAATAAGTATAAGAAGATATTATTTTTAGCATAAATAATAAAGAATAAGTATAAAATTTAAATTAATTATTGTTTTTGTAAATATTTTAGGCCATGACTAAAAAATATTTTAAAGACTAAAAGAATAAAAGACAATGTTAAAAATTCATTTTTGAAAATAAATAATCTTCAAAAAAAATTATTAACACAAACATGTGAGAGAAAAAATAAAATGCATATCATTTGTAGTAAAATGAGTTAAAATCATTGTAACATCTTAATAAAGAATTATGAAAATTTTAAGTATAATGAAACTTAAAAGTAAACATAAGAAATATTATTTTGACATAAATAATTCAATTGACATCGTAAAATTTAAATTAATCATTTGTCCTATAAATATTTGTAGGTCATGGTTAAAAAACATTTTAAAAGCTAAAATAGATTCTGAAAAATGTAAGAATAAATGTTAAAAATATTATTTTAACATAAATAATTAAATTGGCAACTTAAACTTTAAATTAATTATTTTCTATAAATTTTTTAGGCTAATGGCTTAAAAAATTAATGTTAAAAATTAATATTAAAAAATTAAAAATAACATAATTAGAAGTGTCATAACATGATAATAAACATTTATAAAAATTTTAAATGTAATAAAAAGTAAGAATAAACGTAAATATTTGAGAATAATAATAAAATTCATATCAATTAAGGTAAAAGGATTTATAAATATTTCCTTCAAAAAATTAATAGTGCAAATAAGTGAGAAGAATAATAAAATTCATATCAATTAGTATAAAATGATTTAGAAGTATCATAACAATATAAAAAAAGGTTATGAAAATTTTAAACATGATAGAAGATAAGAATAAACGTAAATATGTAAGAGTAATAAAATTTATATCAATTAATGCTAAAATATATTAGAAATATTGTAATGGATTAAGAAAGAGCTATAAAATTCTAAACGTAATGGAATATAAGAGTAGACATTAGATAATATTATTTTAATATAAATAATTAAGTTGAAAATGTAAATTTTAAATTAATTATTTTCCTATAAATATTTTAAGTTAATGGCTAAAAAATAGTTTAAAGTCTAAAAAAGAAATTTTTAAACAATTAATATTTGAAATAAAAATAATCTTCTTTAACAAGTTAATAACATAAACAGATGAAAGAGATAATAAAATTAATATCATTTGCCATAAAATAAGTTAAAAATATTCATAACACGTTAGGAATGAGTTATAAAAATTTCTAAATATAACGAAAGATAAAAATAAAGTAGACAACATAAAATTTAAATTAATTTTTTTTCTGTAAATAGATAAGATAAATGGCTAAAAAATACTTTTTAAGGATAAAAAATGTAAAAAGATTGATGTTTTAAAACTAAAAAATATTCATAAAAGTATTAACTTAAAAACATGTAAGAGGAATAATAAAGGACGTTAACTTAATAATGTTGCTGTATCTTTTGGCTTTCTTTGCTTTCTACTTTCTTTTTCATTTTTAATGATAAAAAGTATTGTCACTATAGTAAAATGACGTAATTAGCAATAGTTTTGTAGCGGCCTTTTACTTACAAACGTCACTAGCTTCCGTATTTTATAAAACTTTCAAACGTTTTATTATATAAACGTCACTAAATATTCAAATAGCAGCGTTTATACATATAAACGTCATTAAAAATAAAAATAATGGCGTTTATTAACTAAAAATGCCTTGAATAATCTGCTCATAAAAAAATGATTATTGAAGGCGTTTTCTACCAGAAACGCCTTCAATAATTCTCCAAAAAAAATTGTAGAGGATTATTGAAGGCGTTTTTTGTCAAAAATGCATTCAATAAATCTCCTTGTCAATTAATTTATGAAAAATGGAGTAGCATTGATGGTTAGAGTATACGGTTGTTAATTATAAGGTCATAGGTTCGATTCTTTCCTTCAGCATTTTTTTAAATTTTCAAAGGATTATTAAAGGTGTTTCTGACCAGAAATGCCTTTCAATAATCCTTGAAAAAACCTAAAAAAATACTGAAAGAAGAGATCAAACCTACACCCTTATGATTAATAATCATATGCTCTAACCGACAGCATTACTCTATTTTTGATAAATTTATTAACAAAGAAAATTTATTGAAGGTGTTTTTGACAAAAAATACCTTTAATAATCCTTTACAATTTTTAGTGAAATTATTGAAGGTGTTTCTTCAGTAGAAAATGCCTTCAACAATCTCCTTTATTTTCTATTGAGCAGGTATTCAAGGCATTTTTGTCTAAAAACGCCTTCAATAATCTCTTATAAAAAATTGAAAGGGATTACTAAAAACATTTTTTTACAGAAAACGCCTTCAATAATTCTCTCTAAAAAAATTATAGAGGATTATTGAAGACATTTTTGGCAAAAAAAAATCATCAATAATCCCCTCCAAAAAAATTAGAAAGGATTATTGACGACGTTTTTTAGTCAAAATGCCTTCAATAATCTTCTCATATAAAATGAAAGAGATTATTGAAAGCGTTTTTTGCAAAAAAACGCTTTTAATAATCTCCTTTAAAAAAATTAGAGGGGATTATTGAAAGTATTTTTGGTCAAAAAACGCCTTCAATAGTACCCTCAAAAAAATTAGGGGGGATTATTGAAGGTATTTGTTTTTTCAAAAAACGCCTTCAATAATCCTCTTTGCAAATAGTAACATTTTTTAAAAGTAAATGCCGCTATCATGGCGAAATAGTGCGGCTAAAAATTTTTTTTCAAAATTGAAACCCCCTCTTTCTCCTCTATAATTTTTTTTCTTTTCCCCAACTTTTTTCTTGAAGAGAATGGTGAGAAATAAAATTCAAATCAAGAAGATTGACAACGTAGCAACAAGGCAAGTGACTTTCTCAAGAGATAAGGACTTTTTAAGAAAGCTCATGAGCTTTTCACTCTTTACGATGTTGAGAATAGCTCTTCCAATCTTTTCAGCCGCTGGAAAGCTCTTTAAGTACTCATCACAAGGTTGCTCTCACTTATCTCATATCTATATGTGAATGCTTTGCCTTGATTCTTGCTTTATCTCTATTGGTTTAATATAGAAATCTTTACTTGATGTTTGATTTAATGTGTTAAATGTGCTTGGGTGAGTGTGAGAGAAAGCGAGAAATGTAACTATTTTGAAAGAAGATCTTTCGAATCAAGAGAACTATATAAAAGTATAAATTCATGATAATGTACTTGAATCTTGTATTCTATTACAAAAAGAACTTTTAATAATTTGTCAAAAGCTTAGGGGTTGAGGTGGGAGGCCATGGTTTTACATGAATGTCTGTATGATATCTATTGATGCTTGTTCATACTTTTCTGAACCTTGTTTAAGCCATATTTTATGACTAATCAGCTATTTTATAAGAAGTTTATGCTTTTCATATATCTTTGCTGGTGCAACTTAAAGCACAACATTGGATATTTTGCCTTTCATTTTTCTTTGTCAAATCTGATCTGCTGTCATTTTCAATTTATTCTTAATTGAATCTTGTTACAATTTTAGGTTTCCTACATTCTTTTTGAATGTTTTTTAAGTGTTTTTATAATGAAATTTACAAATTCTCATGATTTCCTTTTCAAATTCTGTAAAATTCACGTTGAACTCAAATCTAGTTTCAAAACTACGCACTTGACCTATCTTCAATCTTTTGACCAAAACTCACTGAATTCTAGCTTGATTTACTTCAAAGTTTTTTTTCTAGATTTTTAGTTCATAAGGCTATAATCTAGTAAAATTAAGCCTCAAATTCCATTTGTACAAGTACAGTTAATTCTTCAAAGTTAAGGGTGAATTCAGAAGGCAGAAACAATCCATGCATGAAAACTTGATGAATGATGATCCTCTCTCCTTCTAGGTGTTCGATTTGATTCTCTCATATTTTACATTCTTAGTTTTACATGTTTACTTGTTATTTTTTAATTTATTGCATTTATTTTCATGAATTCATTTGGTGTTTGGATAGATTTAATTGTTAATGCTCTGTTTTTCTCTGTTTTCAGTATCACTTGAGTTGCTAGTTCATTAAGCTGGTTTTTCTCTATTTTGCTGCCATTTTCTTGTTGAATTTTGTAGCAAACTTGATTGATGAATTGTTTCTTAGCTCATTTCAAGTTCATTTTCATTATAAGCTTCTAGACTTAATTTTTTCTTTCATCAACTCAGTGAGTTTCGATTGAATTTCACTTTATATTTTAGTTGTTTCTAGTTAATTCTTGTATTTTCTTGCACTTTTTGTTCTTCAAATCAATTGTCCTTTTGGTTCCTTAATTGATCTTTTCAATTCCAATTTATTGATCACTTGTTTTAGCATCAATTAGGTGTAGATCAATGAGATCTTGTATATCTTCCTTGATTTTATCTTGCATTACAAATTTTATGTTACTTTTTACAGCTTATCTAGTGACATTTTTCAATCAGGATGCGAACATGAAGTTATGGAAAAGATAAATAAAAGTATTTATGATGCAATTCTAACAACCACATTTTGGGTTCTTGGAGAAATGTTCTCTTTAACAATAGAAGCCAAGATGATGAATAGGCGTTGTAGGTTCCACTCAAAGTAAGTGCCGACTCCTTCTATAAAGTCCATGACGGGCAAGAGGAAACAAATGCCCAAAGGTAGAATGTTATTACATATATTAAACTTTATGTTAAACATGCATATTGGAAACAAATTCCTGTATTTAGATAATTTAAATATTTATAATATCAGTTTATGAATTTAATCATTATTTTTATTTCTTACTTAACAATTTTTATTTAATTACAATAATAAATATTAAATAAAATTAAAGAGTTAAATTTTCAATATAGCGGCGTTTGTATTTATAAATGTCATGTAAATGTTGGAATTTAGTTGACGTTTGTATAAAAAATACAGTATAAATTAGTGGCATTTTTTAAACACCAACGTCGCTAAAATTGAGCGGCTTTTTTATGCAAATGCACTAAATTCCATAATTAGCAGCGTTTTTAAGTACAAACATCGTTAAATTTAGCCGGTATTTTTTAAAAACGCCTTTATTTTTCGCAACATGTGATAAGTGGCACTCTGCGGGACATTTTTCACAAATACCGCAAACCTTATAGTGGCATTAATAAACGTCGTTAGACGGTAAAAAAAAAGGTCACTAAAACCCAAAACCCCTTAAGTGTGTATTATTTTGTTTCATACTATATCTATTTTGGATTTGGCTCCAAAGAAAGAAAAAAATAATTTCAATGTTCTTATAATTTTATTGTTGTTGATTTTTTTACCCTTTCTTTTTAAATTTCTATTTAGGCTGGTCCTTAATTTTCCCTTCCTAATGATCTCTGGAGTTGGTGATGTAAAACGTCCACATACCTTAATTTAGAAAATCCATTCCCAGTTAGGTAAGTTTAAATAATATATTTTTTTATTTTTCATAATTTTTTATTTGCTCCAAAGTTCTTTACTTGTTTCTTTCCCTACTATATTTAAATAAAAACTGCATTGATACTACGTCTTTACCCTAAAACATTATGATACATTCTTAATATATATGCGCATGAACACTGAAGAATTTCTACTATCTGCAGAATTTTCAATTTCCAAGTTGATCCATCAACAATTGTTTCCATTTGTGACTGTAATCCATTAGAGCAAGTCTTAGATTTTCTCAACAAAAAAAAAAAAAGGGTGAGATTGAGGTAACTCTTCTCTTTCCATTTCTCCATTTCTTTTACTTATATTTTTTCCTATCAGACAAAATAGCTAAAAGAGTAAATGGAGGAAGAGTTGAGATAGGAAATTTTGTATTTGTGTGAAAAATCTATTTACAACTATCAATTATCAAATATTATAATGTTATAAAGAATAGAAAATCTTATTATAAGATTTTAATTTTGATAAATTAGTGTAAGATGTGGAGTTTTACAGTACATCAGCTAAGATAATTTTAAAACTATTTCTTTCATACTTAAGGATAAATCAACGGAGGAAATAAACAAGATTTTGAATCATTAAATCTTTCAACGCGTAGGGCATAATTCGATAGAATCTAATCCCATGAAAAGCAACCAAAAAAATAATAATAATAAAGTAAGAGAGAAAGTAATTGTTGAAAAATAATTGAAAGAAGACAAAAATAAAGGGGCCAATAATTCGGAAGTGCATCAAAGATGCCATGTCCCACTAGCATCAATGGATCATTTTTCTTCAAAAATCGTACGAGCACCGAACAAAAAAAAAAAAAGTAAAGGTGTGAATCAAAGAAGCAAAAATTGTATGGCTGTATAATTTTTTGGTTTCTTTGATTTCTATTTTTTATCTTATTTCATGCAATATCTATTCTGATTTGCTTTTAACTCCAAAAAAAAAAAAAAACTTCAATGTTCTTATAAGCTTATTGTTACTAATCTTTATTTCCTTTTTCTTTTAATTTCTATTAAGGTTGGTCCTTAATT